GATTGGGATTCAGGTTTAAAGCTTGGGATTTAGATGCAAGGCGTGCTGCTCAGAACTCACCCATACCACTAAACCAGTGTAGCATTGGCCGCTCACTTGTGGTTCAAAGTTTAAAGCCTGTAGGACAGGACGAGCCCTAAACCCTGAACTTTAACCACCCTGAACCCTAAACCCTCAACCCGAAACCGTAAGCCCTAAACCCTCAACCCCAACCCTAAACTGTACTGTAAGGCCCTACACTCAGTCCCTTGCCCCCCAAACCCTACACAGTAGGGTATTAGGGTTTAGGGGTTGAAGAAAGAGGGTTGAGGGGCGAAGATGAAGAGTCCGCCTGCAGGCTCGGGGCACCCAGACCCCTTATAGGCTACGAAAAACATGGAGCATCCCAATAATTATAGGGTTTATGGTCTACGGCTACGGTTTAGGGATGGGGCCGGGGTCATCATTACCTACATATACTATACCCCGCATACCTGAGGCCAAAGGCGTATAACTTGAACTTTTCCCTGAACTCATGCTGTAACCCATGTGAGCATGTTTCCCCAAATAATTAATGGAACATCACATGCAAAAGAAAATGGAACATGAAATGGATACTACTGTTTAGGGTTTGGGGTACACCAGGTGCTCGGTTGAATTAGCTTTTATACTTGGAGGGTCACGGAACCTGTAATAATGGAAACGAAGAAGATGGAAACCACTACGCATAACCCTAAACCCTAGGGTTGAGGGTTCGGTGTGTTGGGTTGAAGGGGTCAGGGGAACTCAGTAAGCAGGATCCTAATTGGGATAATTGGCCTCAGTATACCGCTTCTGGGGGTTATTTACCTATTTACTAAGTCCCCCTATTCCTCCAAGTAGTACCCTAAATAACAAAGTAGTTTCCATTTGCTTTTCCATTCCCTTCATACCCTTATATGTAACCCTTTTTTGAGGGTGCGATTAACCCCTCAACCCTAAACCCTAAATCCTAAAACCCCAAACCCCTTGTGCAGCTGGGGTATGCGAGGGACCATTTGGGTCTAAGGAAGGAGACCCTCTGCCTTGGGGGCTGCCGATGCAGGTCGTCGCAGCGGGCCCCGAACCATGAGGAAGTAGGCACAGGGTTGGTAGGGTCGGAGTCTAAGGACCTGGTATTTTTCTAGAGGATTTGGGTCTGATGGATATCTAGAGGATTTGGGTCTAAACCCTAAACCCTAAAGCCTATTATGGCACAAGGTTAGTAGGGTTAGAGTCTAAGGTTTTGGTAGAGTAGCAAAAGGTTAGACAACTGCCCCGGGGGGGGGGGGCTGTGCGTAGAGAGGGTTGGCTCAGGAAGCTCTGCTGGTAGCGCTGGGGTGACAATTTCAGGTTTGGGAGAACGAATTCTGAAACCCCTGCGGATTTGGAATTGCGATTCGCAGCAAGGTGAGCTTGGCTTACAGCAATGATGCTTCTTGCAGCGTGCCTGAACCTGGGCATTCTGTTTCGGCTGTAGACGTACAACTAGTAGCTTGCAGCTAGTAGGTTGCATTAGTGTCTAGGTTCAAAGCAGTGAGGATGAAGTAAACACATGTGCCACCGAGAACAAGCAAAACAAAACATGTCTACAAGCCCGGGTGAAATCGCAAAAAAACAGCTGGCGGGCCAAAAAGGCATGCAATGAGTCGCGCAGATGAGGGCTGTTGCATGTGGTGATTGGTTTAGGGTTTGGACCATGTGGGATTGCATTCGTCCTAGAAACTGCGAAAAGGGCAGCATTATATTTCTCTCAACTCTATCCCAGTTCAAAATTGAAAACTGCTGCTCCAAAGTCACAACACAAGACAGTCTTCATTGTAAGGACCCCCAGAAAAGGCACCCAGAATTTCCACGGTGGATATTCAAAATCCTGCATGCTTTGCACCTTGAGACTTATAGTATTGTTATATGGGTAGTTCCCAAAATTAGGGTCCCATTCTGGTACCCCTAAATATCAGCTGCCGTAGTATAGTCTATAACCAAAAGGGGCCCATAATCTGAAGAACAACCCATGTAACAAGGTCATGCAGGTTTTTCTGGTACTAGGTTCCCCAGTAACCCATTAATAAGAAGGGTACCCTTTTTCCTGCTATTCAATTTTAATTAGGAGACCCCAAAATGAAAAGGGCAAAAGGGTATTACTGGGGGACCTAGAGTATCACCCGTTGGCCCCTGAAACCCATTGAAAAATATTAGTATATATGGTCCCCTAGTAAGGCCATTAGAGAAAATATTAAATATCCCAGGGGCCTACCCAGATCAACAGTATTACAGATCTGCCCGCAAAATTGAAAGTAGGTACACGGGAAGGCATGTCTGCTTCTCAGAGGGCGAGGCTGTAAACCCAAAAGTTTAGGGTTTAGGGGTGAGGCGCTAAAGCCGAAACAGAAAACCCTAAAGCTTCAAACAAGTTCGCACGCGGGTGCAAATTCGAGTGCTCAAGCTATTTAGGGTTAAGGGTTTAGGTGATAAGGGGGCTTCATAGGGATTACCCCAATGATTAATGGAGGACCAAATGAAATGGAAACGGGGATGGACAATGAAATAGAACAGCCCCCAAACCCCCAAGAAAAGGTTCAGGTAATCCTAAACGCCAAACCTAAGACCAGCTGCACCCTTGACCAGAAACCCTAAGCCCCAAACCCTAAACCCCAACTCCTGCACGCTACTTGGAGGGTCAGGGAAACTTAATAAGTAGGTTGATAATGGGGATAATTGGGGTTACTATATGGCTTATAGGGGTTACTAACCTACTTACTGAGTCGCCCTGACCCCCCAGGTAGACACTAACTCCTAAGCCACCCCCCTTGACAGACGCTTTTTCCGTAACCTTCAGTCGTAGCAGCTGCCTCGTCGGTTGGCCTTGGGGCTGAAATTCGCATTCTGTTACCTGCTTGCTACTGATATGGCTTGGGGTTTAGGGTTTAGGATGAGGGTTTAGGATTAGGGACTAGGGTTTAGGGTTTAGGATTAGGGTTTAGGGTGGGTTTAGGGTTTAGGATTCAGGGTTCAACTTTAGGCAGCACATCATCCCTTTAAGGGCGCGAGGCTTCAGGGGTCTAGACCGAGCCTAAATGAGTTGCTCGCCCTTTGGCTATGGGTTATACTATGGCACGCGATACTAAGGGGTACCAAAATGGGACCCTAAATTCGGGAACTACTTAACAACAGGATTAAACCCCTAAACCCTAAACCCTAAACCGGATTGAGGATTGAGGATTTAGGGTCGATCTCCGTGGCCCTTCGGCAGAACCTTTGCAGGCTTGTCTTCAGAAAAACCATGACGCAATCCACAATGTGGAGCAGCATACTTCTCTGAAAATTCCCGGGTACCTTTAGCGTCCCTTTGGTACCCTACTTTGAGAAACCCTACGTAAACCCTGGGGTCTACTCCTAAAGTCATGAACACTGAACCTGACATCCCCCAAACCCTGAACTTAAAATCCCCCAAACCCTGAGCTCCAGATCCTCTACACCCGGAAACCTAAACCCTAAAACCCTAAACCCCAAACCCAAACCCCAAACCATGAACCTTGGCCCTGAACCTCAAATGCCCGGCCCCCAGCCCCTGTTATTTTGAGAAACTTTCATATGCAAGGTTGTCAAATAAATCATGGACCCCTTTTTGGCCCTCTATACATTCAGGGCAGCATTGTAGAGGGAGCCCAAATAGGTCTCACAGTTTTGAACCATGAACTTTGAACCCTAGACTCTAGACTCTAGACACTTAAGCGAAAACTCTAACCCAGAAACCCTACCTCAAGTAGATAGAATATGGCTTTGGGTATATTATAATAAGATCCCCATATACCCCATATTCTATCTACTGAAGGAGAACTATACACCCGAAAGCGTCACCCCCCTATCCCACCCCCATCCATGGTCCACCTCTGACAGCCACAGGGGACGGCTAGGATTCGCCGCGCCTCGTTTACGGTTTAGGGTTTAGGGAAGCATGTCTAATCTATGGACTCCAATTGTGGGTCTTCATTATCCTCCAACTCTTGTATGACTAGTGCGTACCTCATACAACCCTACAAACCCCACTGAGAACCCATAGTAAGAAGCTGAGAGCATGAGGCTATAAGGGAGCTTCGGGTCTATAAAGAGGTTTCTCTATAACGATAAAGGCTTAGAGTTTGAGGTTTAGTGCGGGGGCTCGTGGCGGGATTTGCCAAGCACGGCATTACTCCGTCTAATGGATCACCATGAGATTGCCAAAGGGTTGAGCATTGATGCAGGGACATGAGCCGGGGGTGTTCTGAGGTGTCCTTGCTGGCTTGACTATCACATCTTCTAGCTCTCCGTACTCGACGCTGTTGTTGGTTTGGGCGCTCCTACCTGAGACCAGCCTTTTTGATAGCTAGTTCATCCCACCATGGCTGGCTGTTGTTCATGTAGGGTGGCTCTGAACCCTGAGCGCTAAGACTTCCAAAAAGTTTCTCAAGGTTGATATAGGGCCCCTTGAAAGGCTTACATCCTGAAACCTAAACAAGTTTGGAGTTCAGGGCCCAATCCAGAAGCGTCGTCTCTTAGATTCGCGACTTAGGCCTAACTAGAGACTTAGTACTTACGTAGAATGAGGGCCTCAAGCCATGAAAGCTCAACCCTCAGGGTTTAGGGTTTAGGGGTTTAAGGTGTAGGGTTTGGGGTTAGGGGATTAGGTCTTAGGGCTTAAAACCTACAGTACTCCTGAACTCCCAAAATGATGCCGTAGAATTTGTTTCAGGGTGACTCCTCCTATCCATAGGCTTGGGGCTTAGCGTGTATAACCCTAAACCGTACACCCTAAAACCCCAAACCCCCAAAAACGGATTCCTGTTCATGTTCCATTTGAGTCTGCCCATGGGAGTAACATCTTGCAACACTAAACCCTAAACCCTGAACCCTAAACCCTACTCCCTAAGTCCTTAACCCTAAACCCCCAAACAATTAGCCCTAGTCCTTTCGAACTGCTTGGGAGCTGAGTAGAAGACGTTTCAGCAACTTGAGGCTATGGCCATCCGGTGCAGGCTTGAAGATCCACCACACCTGCATGGGCTTAGGGTTTAAGGTTTGGGGGTATAGGGTGTAGGGTTTTGGGGGTATAGGGTTTAAGGTCTAGGGTTTTGGGTGTAGGGTTTAGGGTCTAGAGTCTAGGGGTGTAGAGTTTAGGGTTCAGGGTTTGGGGTGTAGGGCTTGAGGGGGGAATTAGAGATTAAGGACGAGGGTTCAGGGTTTAAGGTTTATATAGCGGGTTTAGGAGGATTTGACATGGCAAAGAAAGGATGATAATCATCTGGGTAACTGGTCCCTCCCCCTGATCAAGAAACCTCTTGAAGGGGGTTAAATGTAGCTGGAAAAACTACATAATTCACAAATGTTGCCAACAACCCTAAACCCTAAACCCTTAACCGCAAGCTTCGCCCGTAGGGTCCAAGGTTTAGGGCCGGGTAATGTAGACCCCTGATTAATAAACCCCTCCCTTTGAGGGCCTTACTATTAGGATCCCTATTATATTCCCTATTAAGGGCAGGGGGTTTATTAATCATGGGTCTACATTACCTGCTTTACTTACAGGATTTGGGGTTGGGCTCCTTAGGGCTTTAGGGCTAAGGGAGCCCTTACGGGCCCATATCATGCACTCATAATCCTTGCGCATCCCAAGGTTCCCACAAGCAACCTTGTTCTGAGAACCCCCCCCCACGCTAATCCCTGAACGCCTGTCTGTAACACTCTGCCGGGGAAAAACCAAAAAATCAGCCTCCCACCTACTGTAGGGGTCCCGATAATTAGGAATACAATCTTTGGGGTATATAATTGGCACCCCTACTTCTGAACCCCCCCCAGCACACACTTGTTGTGAGACGCCACCTAGGACTTACTTTTTGTAAGGCATGGGGGAATGACGTTATATACTAACCCCCAACATCTTGCCCCATGGCATAACAGTTGTTATTCCTTTTCCATTCCTTCATTCAATACTAGCCACTCTGAACCCTGAGCACTGAATGGCACATTGCGTAGTCTTTCAATTCGTTCAGTCCCCACGCCTCAACCCCATAGTAGCTTCAATTCTCTTTCACTCGTTTCCTACCGACAGCCAGTAAGAGGTTCCCCAGTAACCCCCTAATAATAGATAAGGGTACCCTTTTTTCCAAACATTCAGCATTTAATAACGACACCCAATTTTTTCTTTAAAAAAGAGGAAAAACTGTACTACTGGGGTACCTAGATTCCCTAAATCCCTTAACCCTAAAAGGCTACTACTGACCTACCTAGATTCCCTAAACCCTAAACCCTAAGGGTACTACTGGGGTA